CTGCACAGCTCAGCTTGGTATCATCTATGAAACTGCTGAGGGTGCACTTGATCCCACACTCCTGGTCATTAATAAAGATTTTGAAGACCACTGGTTCCAAGACTGACGTCCCTGGGGGATGCCAGTCATTACCAGCCTCCAGTTTTGACACCTTGATTCTAGAGTTGTTAATAGGAAAGTGATGTAGGTAGAGAATGTTGCTTGGAGTCACCCACAGTGCCAACTTACATAGAGAAAAAGAAAATGTTATCTGTAACTATTGTCCTCTGAGCTGCATTCTCATAGTATTCAAAGCTCTTCTGTTTTTTTCACTGGAGTGCAAGGAGTTTCTGAGGTTTTTCTCAGCCTCTGAAATCCAAAGAGAAGAGAGAACTGGCTTTTCAGGTCTGCCTATAAAGTAGGAAGATGCCACAGTCTTGTAAATACACCTTATGGGATGTTATCAACGAAAACAATTACCTTGCTTTCACTGTTTAGAAAGATATATCATTGATGAATGTGGAAAAAGAATTCTGTGTGTATATAACAGAAGAGTAACAGATTCAAATAAGTAGTTCTTATAATGATGAAACTGGTCCTCAAGATTTCCATTTATATGGAAACAAAGAATTCTTTTATATAAAATCATTTTACAGAATCACAGAATCACAAGGTTGGAAACGACCTGCAAGATCATCCAGTCCAACCACCTTCCCATTCTTATCAGTGCCACAAGCTACTAAACCATCTCTCGTAGCTCCTCATCCAGGCGCCTCTTGAACACTGCCAGGGACGGCGACTCCACCACCTCCCTGGGCAGCCATTCCAGTGCCTGACCACCCTTCGAGAGAAAAAGTTTCTCCTAATATCCAACCTAAACCTCCTCTGGTATAACTTCTTGCCATTTCCTCGGGTCCTGCTATTTGCCTGGGAGAAGAGGCCAGACCCTTTTGCACCACAACCTCCCTTCAGGAAGTTGTAGAGTGCAATGAGGTCTCCCCTGAGCCTCCTCTTCTCCAGACTGAACAATCCCAGCTCCCTCAGCCGCTCCTCATAAGACCTGTGCTCCAGACCCCTCACCAGTTTCGTTGCCCTTCTCTGGACACGCTCCAGGGCCTCAATGTCTTTCTTGTAGTGAGGGGCCCAAAACTGAACACAGTACTCGAGGTGCAGCCTCACCAGTGCTGAGTACAGGGGGATGATCACCTCCCTGCTCCTGCTGGCCACACTATTTCTAATGCAGGCCAGGATGCCGTTGGCCCTCTTGGCCACCTGGGCACACTGTCGGCTCATGTTCAGCCGAGCATCAACCAACACCCCTAGGTCCCTTTCCTCTTCACAATCATCCAACCACTCATCCCCAAGCCTGTAACGCTGCCTGGGGTTGTTGTGGCCAAAGTGCAGAACCCGACACTTGGCCTTGTTAAACCTCATCCCATTCATCTCAGCCCAGCGATCCAGCTTATCTAGATCCCTCTGCAGGGCCTCCCTGCCCTCAGGCAGATCAACACCACCTCCCAACTTGGTGTCTTCTGCAAACTTACTCAGCGTACACTCAATCCCTTCATCTAAGTCGTCAGTGAAGACATTGAACAGGATGGGCCCCAGTACCGACCCCTGGGGGACACCACTTGTAACAGGTCTCCAGCTGGACTTCACTCCATTGACCACCACCCGTTGAGCACGGCCCTCCAGCCAGTTCCTTATCCAACGGAGGGTAAAACTGTCCAAGCCATGGGCAGCCAGTTTCCGCAGAAGGATACTGTGTGAGACCATGGCAAAGGCTTTGCTGAAGTCTAGGTAGACTACATCAACTGCCTTTCCCTCATCTACCAGTTTGGTCACCTAGTCGTAGAAGGAGATGAGGTTGGTCAAACACGACCTGCCTTTCATGAACCTGAGCTGGCTGGGCCTGATCCCATGGACAAGCTGTGTGATCTCTCCCAGGAGGATTTGTTCCATGTTCCATTTTAGAAGAGGTATGAAGACATTCTTCAGTGTATTACAGAAATCTGTATTCAGTAATGATCAGGGGTTTGCAAAATTGAGTCACCATAAAGCATAACAATCTATTACTAGTTTACTGTTCTCTGAAAATGTCTGATATTTGTATCTGTCAAAGAGAAATAACTCATCTGGGTAGTCTGTAGGCCTAGCGTACTTACATAAATTCTGAAGTTTTATATTATAAAGTCATATAATGAAACGTGTTCAGAGAAGCATTCAGTAAAATATGTACATAAAAATGAATTTAATTGAAGATTATAAGCACTGTTGTATGACTATGGTACTTTAGTTGACAGTAGACTCAAATTAATATGAGTGCCTTTAAAAATGAATCTCTGTCTTTCTGTGTTTTGATTTCTTTAGAATATAATTTCAAATTTACACATATCAACTGCATAATGTAAATATTAACATGACATCCTGAAGATAAATAGCTACATATCAGTAGTTAATTTAATATTAGCATTGTATAATAACTACACAGCAAAAACTTTCATTGGTCATGATGAGTTCTTTCAGTTCTTCATGGCATTAATTTGTTCCTGAATTTTGACTTGCAGTAGAATTTTAAATGGTTATTCTTTATGGAAAACTTGAGTAGAAAGGTACTCTCTTGTTTCACCAATTATTAACATAAGAGTGGGCATTAGAGAGCACAAGTCCTTTGGTTTTGATTTGGGTTGTTGTTGTTTTTTTGTGTTGTTGTTGTTGTTGTTTTGTCTTTAAATGATTGGACAACCCAACAGCTTTAATGTTCAAAAGTTTTTCAGCTTTACTGTCCTATATAAGGAATGTATTTGGCTTGAGTGTTGTATATGAAGCATGAAATACTACTGTCAAAATATAGAAAAAAGAATTAAATTGAGATGCTTACAAGCAGGACGTAGATAGAGATATATAGAGATCTTATTTTATTTGACAAGCTAATAATGGACAGAAAATGCAGGCAAACTTTTGAGGATATAGTGTTTTGTTTCACAGGAAGCATCAGGTTAGGCGCAGATGGTTTTATACGTATATTTCCTGGGAGGAAGAAGATAGGCTCTTTCCATTTCTTTTTATCTCTGTATGATGAGCTGCTTGAAAGTTAAGAGGTGATAAAGCTGTGAGGCAGTTAATGTTCCCTAGCACAAATCCTTTGAAGGGTAGAGGCATTAGGATGTGCCATTAGGATCTGCTTTTGAAAGTAGTTTGCAGGACTTCCTTGACCATTAAGCATGAGAGTTAAATTAGAGTGGTTTTGTGGAAGAATGTTCTCCGCTTGGTTACTGAATGACCTGTATGTTATCCTTGTCTGTGTATTTTAATTGTAGTAAATAATGCTTATTTGGCTTTATCTGCTATTTTCCAAAGCATATAAAGTTCTGCTGTGTGCTTACATTAAATTCATAGCTTTTGGTAATTCTGTTCATTTGTTTTAATCAGAGGATGGTAATCATTCATTCTTAAAGTCATAGGAAAGCCTGGAAACTTTACACATAGGGAAAGGTCTGTAAAGGCTGTTTTGTCTGATTTAAACATCAGGTTTGCTTAGAAAGCTAATTAGTTCCTTCTACATTAAGTTCCTTTTTTGAGGCATGTTTTTACACTGTGTGTGTGTGTGTATGTGTGTGTGTGTGTATATACACACATGAGAGTTGTATGAAAGCCATTTGTGTTCAATTGACTCGAAGCTTATATTTTAAAGAGTTGCATAGGAGGATAATGTTTATTTAGTAGAGCAGGTAGTATTGCATCATGGTGATACGGACAGTCATCCATTTGAAATCAGCAGGAATTCTCATTGTAGGAATATGTTCAGAAATAGTATTTCCTGATGTGAGAGCTGCTTCAAAAGCAATGCTTCCTATTGTGTTATGTTGACCTATGCAATGGAGATGGATGTTGGTGGTATGGCAGTAGAAGTTGAACCTTCTTGACTATACTGTTGCTGTGCATCAGATGGCAGCAGAGGGGCAGCCTGAAAATGACATCTGTTGTGGAGATGCATGTGAAGCAAAGGTGTGTCACTGAATTCCTCAATGGAGAAAAAATGACACCTATTGACATTCATCAACACTTGCTGAATGTTTCTGGAGAGACCAAATTGTGGATGTGAGCACAGTGAGGCAGTGGGTGATGTGTTTCAGCGGTGGCTACAGTGGATCACTTCCACTGGTGCAGCATGACATGCAGGTTCTTGTTCATCGCTGGTAGAAGATGCATGGCTAATGGTGGTGAGTATGTTGAAAAATAGTTTTGTAGCTGAGGATTGGCTCTATCAGTGTTATTGTGCTCTTTGTCTCTGTAGTTTCCATGAAAATAAATAGGAGGAATGCTGTTGTGGTTTAACCAGGCAGGTGGCTGAGCACCATACAGTCAACACATTCCCCCCTTCCCAGTGGGATAGGGAAGAGAATCAGAAAAACAAAGCAAAACCCTTGGGTTGAGATAAAACTATTTACTAAGATAGAGAAAAGGAAAAGAAAAATAATTGACTACGTGTGTGTATGTGTATATACATGTACATATGAAATGCGTTTAACAAGTGATGCACAAGCAATTGCTCACCATCCCTGACTGATGCCCACCTAGCCTCCCAAGCAGCAAAAGAGAGTGAGATGAGCCCCTATCTGCTTCAGAACTCCTTCCGCATGATGTCATATGGTATGGAATATCCCTTTGGCCAGTTTAATTCAGCTGCCCTAATTCTGTTCCGTTCCAGCTCCATAGGCCCTTCACTGCAAATGGCCTTGGCTCAGCAGCAACTATAGCATCAGCGTGTTATCTCCAAAGAAAACAATTCCATCCCAGCTGAAACTAAGACAAATACTTTTGAAGCAACCTACGTATCTCTGGAAGTTTGACTATATCTACCTGTCAGTGCTTAGCTTCACTGTACTCGTGTATTGCTTCATTGTTGAGTCTGTCTTTCAGATATGATGGGGAATGCAGTTTGTTTACTGAGCTGTGGGTTTTGCCTTAGCTACTCACGCACTCTTGATTTTTTTCTTCTGTGTTTTGTCTACTTTAAGGTCGTTTGTATGCAATGCAAACAGGGATGAAGATTGATAGTAAAACCCCAGAATGCCGCAAATTTTTATCTAAACTTATGGATCAGTTGGAAGCTGTAAGTAGAATCTATTGTTGTCCTCTGAAATTGTTCATGATATTTTAATATTCATGGTATTTTAATGACTAATGAGGCTTCTCCAAATGCTCTTTCTCTGTCAGCATTCATTGGTGCAACTGTTCTGTATGAGGACGTACTGTAAGAATGTGGGTTGTGTGTAATAATAAATAAGCAGGAGAACTGAGAGGAGGTAAAACTGCGTGTATGTGTATATATATGTATGTTTGTATGTATGTGCATGTGTAAGCATGCATGAGCATAAATTTAACTTCCTGTTGAAGGCTTATATTATCCCTTTTGATACTGCAGCAAACAAATCTGCCTTCAGTATTTGGTTACTCCTGTTCAAATTATGAAAGATTAGAAAAACCTATAATTTAATCCCTGAATTACTGATAAAATTGTGACAGCTGGTGCTAAGACATCAGTTCCTTTCATGTAGCCAGGTGATGGAAAACAGGACAGAATGCTTTGGAGCAGGTAAAATGAAGCATTTTGAGAGCTGGGAAGCCTGAGCATATTGACAAGTTAATGTGTCAGTAGTACTTCTACAGTAATTTAATAGCAACCAGTTTCAGTCTGCCTGTACCAGCAGGGGGCACAAAGGGGTGTTGCAGATCTGCTCTAATGGTTCTTGCAGCTTTCTGTGGCTTGCTGTAATTGATTATTTTATGGATTAAGACAGAAACTTACAACTGCAAATGATCCTGAATTATATAGTAGCAGAGAATAAAATGATGTAGACACATGTGGAAATTACTCAATGTTTTTATTTACAAAAAATTTCATACTATTCTAAATCTGTGTAATTAAATATTAAATATTTTGTTTCAAATATATATATATCCTGCAACTTATGAAGTGTAATTTTGTTTTTCTTCTGTGCACTATAATTTGTAAAGTGAATAATTATTGAAAAGTATATTGAGTATGAGTTTGACAAAAGTCTACAGATTTGAAATACCCCTTACAAAGTTTATTTTTTCACTACTGAAATATTTTTTTAAAACGTTCTATGCATTAAAAAGTTGACAAGAGAATAATATTGTGGAAATACAGCTTGCATGATTGAATGTTCCTCATGCTCACTCTGAAAAATAACAGCCATTCAGATACTGTTTTTAAATCTTGGCAAAATAAAGATTACCGGTTAATATCATGCAGTGTTCCTGTTTTTGTCCTCTGAGGATGACCTGAGATTTCCTTATATTCAAACAGTAAGCCTATTCAGAAGCTGTAAATCCACCTGTTGTAACTGTTACTGGGTTATTTGCTTTGCTGATTTTTATTAGGAAGCCTGGGGATTCTTGTAGTCCAGCATATTTGAAAAGAGGTCTTTCAAATGAAGTACGCTGCTTAGACTGAAAATTCCAGTAAATCCATAGGTCACTAGATCAGTTAAGGTGGGGCTTGGACTTGGTGAAAGATATAATGTACTGCTGTGAAATACTTTGCAAAAGAGATGATATTTAATGACTCTGCCCTTCAGTACCTTTACAAACCGTACTTTATAATTTGAACTGTGCTTAATTGTGATACATGCTTCAGAACACTTGGTCTTTTGGATAGTAAGGGGAAAAATATCCGTAGCTATTCCTTCAGAATGTTATGGTTACATATCATTGTGTTTGTTTTAAGATTCAATTTTTCTTTTAAAGGACTAGAAGATAGTATGAAGAACTACTTAATATTTTTCTCTCTAAAACAACGTACTTGCTCTTTGGCATGGTGCTTTAGCATTTGTTATGTTAGAAGTTGGAGATCTTAAAAATAATTAGTGTTTATGGTTTCTCTTTTCAGTTGTACTAAATCAGCAGCTGCTTCTTGTATTTGACTTAGATTAAAGTGCTAGGGTCTAATAATGTAATGAATGTATTTTTTTCAACCTTTTTTTTCAGATGAAAAAACAATTTGGTGATAATGAAGCAATTACTCAGGAAATTGTTGGTTCTGCTCATGTGGAGAATTATGCTTTGAAAATGTTTTTATATGCAGACAATGAAGACAGAGCTGGGCAGTTTCATAAGTAGGTGAAAATCTTTGCTCTGTTGTAAGAATTAAGATCTATCCAAGCTCTTGTTAATTTGGCTGCAAGCAGGAATTGGGCATTCATCTCTCAGAAAAATCCATTTGTTACTATTTTGGTATCTAACTTGACCATTTAACTGGTATCCTTCATCTTGTGTTATTGAAGTGGTTTGCTCACATACTGGTGAACCTTCTAAAACATAATACTGAACATAGACTGATACTGAACTTAGTTAAATATATGGAAATTGTATATTGAAATGTTTGTGATGATGCGTGTTGTTTGAGTTATAGTGGTCACTGCAGCACACTGATGATTTGGCTGGACTTTTTCCTAGGTAATACAGGATGTCCAATGTCCTATATTGAACATTCCAAATTAGAAACTAAGTGCAGAACTTATGACCTGCCTTAAAAATTGCTGAAGAATTCTTCATAGTGATCATGAGACTTCTCAGTATATTCCTAAATATAGACATCATGAAGTAAATCTTGTAGCATCAGATTAAAAGAAAATATTAGTGACAATCGATTTGAAACTAGCCAATCTAAAATGCCAGTTGACAAAAAGTAATCCTAAGAAGATGATATTACCGAGGTAATGAAATGCTTTCTTTTTTACAGAAACATGATAAAGTCCTTTTACACTGCCAGTCTCCTGATAGATGTTCTGACAGTATTTGGGGAGCTCTCTGAAGAGGTAAGTATTAGGGATTTTGGTGTAAGTTGATTGCTTTTCCTAGCACAGTTTCAAGTTACTGTTATAGTTCTGCAATTTTTTGAAAATAGTTCATGAATATGAGCTTCAGAGAACATACATTGTAATTCTGTAATCAAATTCATGTTACTAAATCATAAGAAATTGTCGTAAGCATTTCAAATTATATGAAATGTTAGATAACAGTTGTCTTTTAGAAGATGCTTCATGTCTTAAAAATATACTAATAATATCAGTAATGCCTCATGAACACAGGATTATGTCAAATGAGAATGATTATAGGGAGAAATGTTGCAAGGTTCCTACCTGTTCCACCTTCCCCTTTTCATCCTACAAGCAAGATCTCTAATGCTAATTACTGAGTTGGAATTATATACAATTTTAGCTAAAATAGATATTTTTGGTGTTATAATAAATTTTACTATTAAAAGGTGGTATGTTAAGTTGGAAGGGCATGAGTTTACTTTAAAAAAAAAAAAAAGGATTGAAGTCTGACCATTTGGACATGAATATTTAAAAAATACTCTCTAACAAAGAAGCATAGATTTGCTTTAGTATTCTTTAGCAAAACATGTGCAGTCAAAGAAGTTTTCCAGAACTGATGAACAAGATTGCAATTCCTCTTATTAAAACGTACTTAATAAAAGTTTTAAAGCAAACTTTTCAGTTAGTTGTCTCGTCAGCTCTCTGTTGTTTGTGTTCCACAGGAGAATTAATATTGGATATGGTAGAGCAGATATTCTTAATAAAGTATTCCTTGTTCTGAGAATTAAAATGGAAGTGTTGTTTGCTAAATTAATTGAATAAGAAACTCACTTTGGAAATGTAGGGGTATTGTTGATAACTTCTGTCAAAGAGAAAAAAATAGGGAAAGTTACTACTGACTGGGGACTTGTGGGTTGGATACGATCTCTGGAGGTCCCTTCCAACCCCTACAATTCTGTGATTCAATTCTGTGACTGGTGGAGACAATTTTCAAAAACTGCCAAAGGAAGGATAAAACCTTGAAAAATAAATAAGGAAATACAGTGATACTTCACAGTTTGCAATAGAATCAGCAAGTGCTGATCACATAAGTGCTTAATATTTGTCAGGCCAACTAAATCTGCATAGCTAATCAAAAAGTATTTTTATTTCTTGTATGCATGAGTGCTATAGGATTCTCTTCTTCCGCTAGTAGAATTTCCTTACAAACAAAAGTTCTTTAGCTTTCTAAGCCCGTGACAAGATCTGGTTATGTTGGTCCCAAACTCTTTAATGCCCTGTTTGGAATAAAGAGACTAGACATCCTATATAAAGATGTCTCACATTCAACCTTGCAATGAACAGCCTATTATTTCTTGCTGATGTCTTTCATCTGGTTTAAGTAGTGTTATAAAGATATTATATTAAAATATTTTATATCTAGAATATCCTGTACATACCATATTAGTCCACAACTACACCAACCTTTCTGTTTTAATGGTTTCAAATACCTATTTGTAATTCAAAATAATGTAATTTTAAAAAATCCAACGCTGTGATTGGAATTTGCACTCTGTTTCAGATGATTATTTACTTCAGATTAAAATAATAAAGTTTATGGAGATACATGTAAAAAAAAATATCAGTAATTACTATGCAGTGCACTGTCTTCCACACTAGATGATGTTTGTGTTATTGATTTCCTTGTTCTGACATACTGTACTAATTGAAGATCTCTGCATTTTCATTAGATTCTGAGATCCTACTAGAGCTGTTCTTTTTAGATATGTTTTAATTCACTGATTAATTTCACATGCATTACCCTTAAATGAGCTTCAAGTGCCAGCATTTTAATAATCTCTTGTCTGGATGAAAAATACAGGTTTTAAAAAATTGCAATTTTTTTGCATATGCACAAGTGGATGGAATATCCTAGATTCAAAATTATTGCAGAAATGGAAGGAGAAGCAATAGAAAAAATATATTCCATTGTACCAACCTGTTATGATACTTCCGTGAATACATTAAGTCAAAGAAGTGAGTGATTAAAATAACTGGCCATTTCCCTTTCCCAGAATGTTCAGCACAGAAAGTATGCCAGGTGGAAAGCAGCATACATTCATAACTGCTTGAAAAATGGAGAGACTCCTCAGCCTGGACCTATTGGAATGGAAGGAGAGACTTTTGGTATGTATTTCCATTTTTTCTTCTTAAAAGCTGAGGGCTCTTTCCTCTGTAGAGGAGATAAATCTGACCTGGTAGTGAACTGGCTACGTGATGCTTTGGCTGATGCAAGTTCATATTTTGTGATCAAATAGAGTATGTTACAGTTTGACTACCAAGCTACTGGTTATCATTTTTTCCTTACTTAAAGATACCCTTCATATTTGGTCACTGGAATGGAGATCTTATGCAGTGTCTTATGTTTCAGTCTTGTCATAGCTATATTTCAAATCAAGCATTATCAAACTTAGTCTTTCTTCAACGTGTGATCTTTTTCAAGGCAGTTTTTTGTTTGTTTTTAACTGGTGGTGCAGCCGCAGTGCAAGACCTATGGCGCAACTACATGTGCAAACATCACCACATCTTTGTAAGACAGATTGCACCAATTTCTTTAGAATACAGTGGAGAAGATATGACAAAAAGTCTTTGATAGTGGATGCTAAAGCTTTAAATGAGTGATTTTTAGTGATTAAGTTCATAGCTATAGGAATGTTTACAAAGCTCACCAGATTATGTACAATGATTTCTAATTTTGAAAAATATATTTATAAGCAAAGATTACATCTCTTTGTCTAAAAAAAAAATTATTTATGCAACTTGTATACGATAACTGGTTCTCAGCAGCAATAGACGGTATTTTTTGTCATTTTCTTAATGTACAGGCCAAAGTAGCTGACTTATTCAGAACTGCAGAATAAAGTATTATTGGAGGGAAAACAGAATTCAGATTTATAACCTTAGTCCATATCGCAGATCATTGAAAGTGAAAAGGTGAAGATTGTTGCTTTCGTTGCCAAGTAACATGGAGACGAAGAAGCTAAATTTTAGCTGAATGAGCTAAAATTTACAAAAGTGTTCATAGGAAGTCTACAATATATCCAATTCAGCAAAGTCTTTCTATTTGTTAAGCTATACTTCATATATTAAGATAATTTTTTATCTTCAGGGCAGGTAAATGAAAATACCTCTTGCTGTTCATTTTTTGAATTTACTTCTATAGTGTAGTTGGCCATAATGCTTTACACAACAAAGATTAAAAAAAAAGTTTTGCTAATTATTTTTTTATTAAAGATGCATATAAAACAAAGTGTCAGTTCTTACTTTGTGCATCGTTAGAAGAAAAGAAACATTGTTTGAGTGTACAACTGGACCTTCCCCATTCCTTTCTGCTTGCTCATTCTCTTCCTTCCTTTGCTAGTGGAAAAAGTATGTTTAAACAGAGTGAAAGAAGGTCTCTATAGCTTGACAAATTACCTTTTTTTTTCCAAAGTGTTATTTTCTTTGTGATTCTTGAAAACTATACTGTAATTCTAGGAGATGTTTTTACAGTAACATAGGCATGCTTTGTATGGTTCTGCTGGATTTATGGATGTTTTGTCAGATTGCCACCATGGAAACTTTAAAATGACATGCATGAGTTATTAATGCATTTGGAATACAAGTTGTAGAGTACATATAAAGGTCACGTAGCAGTAGCCCCAGGTCATCGAAAAGGAGTTTATCCTAATGGGAAAATTGAAATTTTAATTTCTAATGGGACAGACTTCTTGAGTAGTCTCAGTATAGTTACAGTGAAATGTATTGTCCAATTTCATTGCAATATTGAACCAATTTCATTGCAATATATAACATTTTACATTTATATTGCAGAGTTTCAGGAAACCTTTATGTCCCAACTAGTTGAAAGAAAAGTATGTGAGCTGTAAAAGGATTTTGGTTTTTTTTCTCAACATGATAGGGAAAAAAAGACAAAGGGGAGACAGAGAAGTGGCGTTCCAAAAAGAACCTCACATTCTACATCTTTTAGCAACTTCTCAAGCTGGAGAGGACATTACAGGACAATGAGGAAAATAAAATGTTTTCAAAATAAAATTAGTAGATGATGGCAAAAAATGTATGTTTATAAATCTCTGGACTCTTCACAAGTAAATTTTGTTAGTTTTCAATTTAGTGCTCTGGGATGTTGAATTTAAGTTACTTTTAGTGCTTCATTACTCTGGACAAAGTCTGTATACTATAAGGCATAATAGTTTGTAATATAAATAAGACATTCCAATCAAGACAAAATGGGCGAAACATTTGCACTCAACATACAGTCTTCTCATATAAAGCATGTGTCTCTATGTACTGATGATGTGGATTAGTTATTTATCTTATCCTGTCAGCCTCTAAACTCCTTGTTTCAAAATACAGATGTCTCTGATTTTAATTACCAATCTGATCAATTATTGAATTTTGCTGTCTCTGTATTTTGCAATGTGGATTAAAAAAATATATGTAACAATTAAAAAAACAGTCTATTAAGACAAATAGTCTGATAGTAATATTTTGCTGAGGTTAATTTTAAATTTCCAAATGTGTTTGTCCAAATTCAGTGTGTGTTTGTATAGTAAAATAATAGAAACGTAATTCAGGTTAGATTTTGTTTTTAAAATAGTGGAGAATTGAATGCTTTCACTGAAGATTTTCTGAGCATGTTAAACATCTCAGCTTCTGGCACAGTTCATATCAAAGCATAAAAGTTAACTTTTTGAGGTTTGTTCCACTTCTGCATGCCTACCTTCTGCTTATTTCTGTGAATTAGGTTTTATCCCAAAATTGCTAGCAGTTTGAGGCAATGAAATTTACCAGAAATTTAATAGATTTGATCTGTATGGTTAACAGCAAATACCTAGAGAATCTTTTATGCTTGTAGAATTATCTTTGGACATTTTGTTTTAGAACCAGGGATATCAGCCTTATTCCAGAAAGTCTTAGCTTTAATAATTAATCAAACAGCAAAAAGATAGTGTGAGTGTACCGTGGCTCTGAGGAAAATCTGAAGATCCCATGGATCCATTATACTGGGATCCAAGCACAAAGTCTGATGAGGGTCCAAGACAAGAGACTTGACTGGAGCTGAAAATGAATGCAAAGCAATTGTGTCACTCTTTTACAGGCCAGTACTGCTTTTTGAGATGTTAATTCCCTAATTTTTTAGTATGCATTCTCTGGAAATGTGCATATTTCTCAATAATTGTATGGATATTCTTATCACAGAACTTATGAGCAATTGTTGAATTAAAAAATTCTTTTCCACCAGCCTGAAAACCTTTTATTTACCACTACTATTAAAACTGTTAAGGAATACTGCAAGGACATAAGTCAACATGGTCTTAATATTTAATCTTTGATTAATAATACTTTAAATATTTACTTTACAGAAAGAATACTTACTACACTTTGACATTTGGGCACTTTAAATACCTAATAAGCATTAATTTAAACAAAGCTACTTTTAATACTGTTCAACATTTAATAATTGCACAATGAGCAAACGTTTGAACTTGATTTTCATGCATATGCCTGAATAAAAGTATATTGCCCACTTGTGGATTTACCTCTTACAGGCATTTGTATTAAGGATAGCAAACACTTTCAACATTTTTATTTTTTTTTACTTTTCTAACATTGCCAGACTTCAACCAATTGAGTTCCTATCTTCCATGGCCAATATTGCCTATGGTTGTTCGGTTTTTTTGAGTTTTATTTTTCATTTTATTAATTTCAGTCACTATTATTGTTTCTGAAAAGAGATCAGAGAGAATGAGATGGATAGTCTCTGTGAGGACTTGAAACTTGGAGAAAGAAGTTGGCAGGAGATTGGATGTTTTTTCTTTCCCATTTCTCAGGGATGGGCTTTTCCTGTCTCTAAGAAAATCTGCCTGTGTTTGGCCCAAGTTCTGAGCTTTTATGAAATTGGAGTTTACACGTACTTAGGCTTGCTAGACTTTTACAGCAGAATTCTCCAAAGGTTCCACGTACATGGGGAATCCTAAGGCAGAGAGAACTTTCCTGAAGTTGTATTTCAGATCCAGTGTGGATAGGAAGCTGGCATTTACAAGTCTCTAGACTGGCCTGGATTAGGAAAAAGCTTCCAGACTCACAAACAGAGGATACACAAGTCCAGACATGGAGGGTGGGCCGGAAGAGACAACCAGGAAGGAGAAGAGGAAAAAAAAGTAGCATTGAAATTAGGCAATCCTTGATGAGGAAATTAGGAGGCAGTGAAAATTAACTAGAGTTGGGTACCTTTGAGCTTTTGCAGGAGTAACTAAAAACTGTGAACTAGCTACTGAAGAACTTTGAAGATGATACTCAGAATGCTTTGGTGAAAAGATCACAAGGTAGTTTAAGACATAGGCAAGTGTGGGGCAAGGGATTGCAGATGTGGAAGAAGTCCTGAGAGAAAAATGGAACTGAAGAGACAGATGAGGGCCGTAGGGGTCAGAAAAAAGAGTTTTAAAGTCTGGATAAGAAATTTGGGGTAATTTATTTTAGTTGTGATACTGTGTACAGTGAAAGCATGTTTTTTCCTGCTCCCTCATTCTCAAAAACAGATTTCCTTTTAACTTTGCCGAATCAAAAATAAGTGATTTTGTTTATTGAATGTTCTATATTGCATTGTGGTGGTTTCCATTTTTCTGCTAACTAGGAATGTTTATTAAAGGCATGTAAGTTTTCAAGTGTTTGGACAAAAGAGTTGGATTCATTTCTGTTTTTTGTCATCTTGACAGATCTTGAAAGAGAAGAGGCAGGGTCATCTTCTCACCAGAGTGGAACAAATCAACCAACATCATCATCATCTACGTATGAAGCTAACAACACACCAACTAGTAATTTCACTGGCATACATGTTCCACCAGGTGCCCATGCACCAGCCAATACTCCAGCTGAAGTTCCTCATAACACAGGTATATGACAATCACATGCAAAGAATTTATGCCTTTATTAAGAGGCGAACTCCATCATAGCCTTCTTTCCATCAGATATAAAATAAAATAATGTAGATGTTTTATGTCAAAAGCAACCTCATACAGTAATACTGTAAAAATGCCATAGGAAATATACGGATAGATGTATTGACACCTCCATCTTGTTTTCTATCAATTTTGGCCCCAAAACATGTTCTTTAAAAGCCAAAGTTGTTTCCAGTAGCTGCATTAAAAAGAAAAAAAAAAAGATTTTATTTTTAGATACTTGTGAACGTACAATTTTTCCACCTCCCATTGCCATATAATAATAAGAAGATTAGCAAGTGAGAAGCTCTTAGTTTCAATCTTGATGATCATTTGATTGTTGAGATGTATTTTTGTATTAAAAGAACAAGATGGATTTCTCACACATCTCCTCTCCTTATTTAAAGAATGTAATTTTAAGAATGTTTCACCCTATTAAAAGTTCAGGATGCTCTTTATTTCAGCTTTATCAAAGGGAAATCCTTCAGATAGTTGTTTATTGTGGTTTTTTTTTTTTTTGGGGGGGGGGAGTAGGGAGGAGGAAGGGGGGAAATCTGGAGGCGTGTTGTTTTCTGTATTCTGTCTAAGTAAATGTTTTACTGTTTGTTTTTTGCCAGATCTGAAAACTATGGAATATGTTTCTTGTTGAAATACATATTTTTTTTTGCATTACTTATTTTTAACCTCACTGTGTTATTTCTTCTAGCACCAATGTTTCCCTTTCAAATCTAGCTTCTGTATTCTCACCAATTGTTTCCAAAGGAATTAGGGAGGACTTAGCTTGCTGCTAAGTACAAGATGGCAGACATGAGGCTTTAAAAATAGCTTCTCTGTAGTATTAAGAGGTGGCATATAAACTTCCAGTTAAAAGAGTTCAGTCATACTGTTCCTTAACAGATTTTTCTCAGTACACTAGGGAAAACCACATATTTTTGGACTAATATTTTCTTAATTTGTTTAACACTTGAAAGTTAAATTCCTGTGAAATACTGTACTGATAATATGAGTGAGAGCCTGTAAATTCTTCATGCTGTTTTATAAAACATTCCTGGTCAACAGTGTTTTAAGATTATTAGCTACAAACTTTAAGACTTTAGGAGCCATCTACTGCTTAAATTAAAAATCACTGAATCATTAAGTTTACCTGTTCTGATTTTCATACTTTTTTGGTGTACTACTAAAGTCTACAAACAGAAATAACCCTGTTCCAATTGTCTGCATTAATTTACAGGAGTGACAACTAATACCATTCAACCTTCTCCTCAAAATATTCCTCTAGTAGATCCTTCCCTTTACAGTGCTCAGTCTGCAGGTAAGATGATGGCATTTGTATTGCCTGTGCGTGAGTGTGCCTCTCCCTGCCTCCTCCAGCTTCCTAATAGTTTAATTTGCAACACTTAAAAGAATTTTGAGAAATAAAGTCACCAGAAATAAAGTTACCAGAATGCTTACAGTTCATAAATGTTAAAAAGAATGGACATCATCTAAATATTCTGATAGTGTTATCTGATTTTTTTTATTTTTTTATTTTTTTTTTACTTTTCAAGCCAATAAGCTGGCATTGTGTTAGCTTTCTCCATTGTTGTTTCTGAGATAAGGTTTGCTGTACTCAACAAAGTCTGTATTCCCGATAACCTTTCTAAATTCTATTTTTGGTAATTAGTACACATTCTCTTTCCTTACAATTACTTCTTCAGGGTTAATTTGTAAATTATTTGTTCATTTCAATGAATAATCAAGAAAAACATTCCAGTGGTGTTTTTTATTGCAGTGTACTTGCTGTGTTCTGTACCAGCAGTGCATGTTGATTATAAGTAAACTTTATATTAAACAAAATAGTACAGTGAAGCATTATGATCTTGTTTTGATTTACCATTGAATCAAGGTTTTTATCCTTTTAATGTTGTTTCTCTTTGATGTAGAGTCACTACTAACCTATATTGTGTGAATTTTACTTCTGTCTTTAAAAATGGCAGCTTCACTGAAAAAGCATTTTAATCAGTGGAATGCAACAGTAGGAATTCATTGTTTAACTTGACTTTAGTCATTTGTCATAAGAATGCTTAAGGATGTGAAGACCTAATATAATAAGGAGCTATTTTTGTCAAAGATGTCTTAAGAAGAAAAATGACAATAATTATCTTTGAAATATTCAGATTTGCTTTTAGCGTTCTCTTGAATAATGAAAGGTACATCTTATTGTTTCTGTCTGGCATATTAATGTCTCTTGTTACAGTTAGCTCACTTTATTGAAAACCTCTAACCAGTCACTGAACCATTTAATCTTGGTGATGGCTTTGCAATTCTGGGGGTTGTGGTGAGAGTTTTGGTCGCTACTTAATGAAAACAGCTAAAGGCTTTATTTAATATTTACCATAAGAACTGCTACTTAAAAAGCAAGTTTGGCGGCGGAGCTTTCATACATAATCAACTGATCATGATAATCTAGACAGTTATTCTAAAAAGTTTTTTTGATAACCACTATGAAAATGCTGGTCATAGTTGTTTATTGGTTTGAATATTTAATTCTAAATGACAAAAATGTCGATTTTAAATTAAATTTTAAATCATTGTTAAGTATTAGAAGTAACATTATTTGGTGTCTGGACAGTGTATCAGTACATTGTTCCCTCTAGCCTGTAATAACTTGATTCAATAAACATAAATACAAATGAAAATGAATTGAGTGAATTAAGATACTCTGTGCTTCTGATAATTTATAATAACTGCTCAGCTGTAATTAGGATATTGATACCCTTGCTAAGCGTAGTGATGAATCTGTAAATTGATCTAGTATAGTATTTGCATGCCTTCATTGCTCCTCTGTACATCTCTTGTTGTGTCACTACAAGTTTGGGTCTTGTAACAGCATATGATGTTAGAGAATGTTTTGGAAATGCATACCCTGCATAAGGCTCATGCAAATCCATGGTTGTGAAAGCTTAGAAAATAGTGTCTCAGGTATGCAAGAGCTTGAGAAGGTATATAGATTTTATATAGTAACAATTTTGTTTGCATGCATAGAATTAAGGATTTTGAGAGCAATGGAAGGCATGGTTCCTTGCTTGTCTCCATCCTGCCACACATGCCTGATGTTCCCAAAACATCCTCCCTTCAAATAGTAAGAACAACATTGTCATTCTCCACCTATTGCTAAGGATTCCCTTTTATACCCAAAATACTGTGCTCTGTTACAGCCTGTTCCTTCTCCTGTATGTAGATCAGGAAATGCCAGTATTTCACAACAGACTTGCTAAACTGGGGGACCCTTTCCAGTTGCTGAATTGCAAGATACATTATAGCTGTCTTGGCTGCATATCGAGGTTATACCTTGATAAGCACTGTTCCTATGGAACTGAAGTTGCCTTAGGGAGAGAAAGGGAGATAACTGTTTCTCTCCAGCTGATCCATACAGCTAGTAGAATACAACAGTTTGCTCCACAATTTAGACAAAATATCTGTATAAATATCTGTATAAATTAAACATGCCTGAGAACATTTGACATTGAGAGCAGATGGCACAGAACAACTCACATCCATACTATTAAACTTTTAAACCTTCTAAACAAGGTAGTTAATCAAGGCTGCCAATATTGAATGGTCTTTAGCATGCTCTAACCATGAATCTTACCCAGGAACTGTTTGGGAAAGTGGTAGTTGTCATAGGCCAAAACCAAACCGCGATCTGTTCCAGCAGTTCAACAGTGCAGAGTCAAGTTCAAGTTCTGAGACACATTCCCTGGCACTGTTTAATGTTCTAGTATAGACATAGCCAAACAGGATATTCCACATACTCCTGGAAGACTCTGTGGTAGGAAGATCAAATGTATATTTTTAAAATAAATTACATATTTTCTTTCTAACCCATAACATGGGAGAAGCAATCTGATTAATGCTTATGTGGAAAAGACTAGAATATTTATCAAAAGAAAATTTAGTTAGAGTATTCCTTTGATTTTAGTTAGCACAAATCCTGCAATAAGAGCCCTGTCCTGTGAGAGCAGATTTTAGAGTTTTACACTGGCTTTCGAAAATATCAAAGCTTATTCAATTAAGCATAGCACACTATGTCTGCTAACAAAATGCAGAGCTATTTAGAACTTTGTAATATATGCTCATGAAATTCTCTGGTCTAATTCATTTTAAAAATTTGTTAACTCTAGATTTTGCTAACACTAAATTCATTCATAATTGTACTACACAGAGTTTTTATAAGATGTTCTTACATTAGTGTATGCTTCCTTCCACAGGTGGCATAGTATAGAGAAACCATTTGTCCTTTCTGGTTGCATTTATAATAATGTTTGCTTTTCCATGCACAGAGTAGAAGTAATAAACACATTTTATGTATTTTCAGGATCTTAAGAAAAATTCTTCGGGGAATTATCTTGAATGTCTTACCTGCTTTAATAGGAAAGAAAAAGAGCATCAGATTTTGATAAATATTAATTACATTTGGCATCACTGTATTTATATTACAAGTTACACTGATTTTATTAAAATATTCTTTAACCAGCTGCCTTGTATTTGGACAATTTCATGAAAAGGAAAATATGAATAGGAAAGGATATCAGGGAGATGCAGATACGTCATATAAAATACATTAATATGAAGGTGCTTTCTTTCTCAACACAATTTTCAGCATATCTAGTAAAATTGACTTTTTGTTTTTACTTTGAGTTTCTCTTAAACTAAAACATAATGGCTTTTAACATTAGTTACGGATTCCATTTGTCAGTTCAGAATTAAGTGTGATTACTAATGATTTCAGATGTGAGTTTCAGGATGAGTGCAGTATACTTTTTCCCATCTCACAGGTTGGTTGAGGTTGGAAGGGAATTCTACGTCCATCTGGTCCCACCTCCCTGCTCAAGCAGTGCCACCTATAGCATGTTGCTTGAGACCATATCTAGGTGGCTTTTAAAGATCCCCAAGTAGGGAGACTCCACAATCTTTCTGGACAACCTGTGGCAATCATGGCCACTCTCACAGTCAAAAACGTGTTCCCTAATATGCACATTGGAACTCTTTGTTTTTTAGTTTGTGCCTGTCGTCTCTGCTCTAGTCACTGAACACCGCCTGAAGAGCCTATGGACTCCATCTTCCTTACTGATGCTCTTCATTTATTTATCTGTACTGATAAGATCCCTCTGACCCTTTTCTTCTCTGGGTTGAAGAGTCCCATCTCTCTCAGCTTTTCCTCATATGAAAGATGCTCCAGTCTCATTATCAGCTTCATGACCCTTCACTGTATTCTCCATTAGCTCTATGTCTCACTTTGTGCTGGGGAATCCAGAATTGGGCACGGATGTAGCCTCCTCCCCAGTATTAAGTAGATGGAAATAATTATTTCCTTTGATCAGCTGACAATGCTCCTCCTAGTGCAGATAAAGATACCATTAGCCAGCCTTGTCTGCAAGATCATGTTTTTGGCATGTGTTCCTCATGGCCGCTGAGACCCCCAGGGTGTTGTTCCTTTTCTGCAAAGCTATTAAACAATGTATGAATGTATGAACCAAAGTTATTTTCTTTTGAGGTGATACTTTCAATTTTAGTACAGATATTGTAGTTAAATTTTGCATTATTTTGAAAATTTTAGAAAGCAGCTGTTTTTCTATTCTGCCTGTCCATTGTGAGGTGCTGACTTCAATAGGAGCTGAGGCCACTGAACACGTCAAAAGATCAACACTGTGTAATCTTCGGTTTATAAATTGAAGTTGATTTTTTTCCCTCAAGTTATGTCATAATAGCATTTGAACTAGATTTCATAATAAATAAATCGTTATGCCAGCAAAACATTAGTAGAGCTCATACTGCAAAAATAAGATTAGACTGGTGAATTTAGGCTTCCTTCCAATAAATTAGTTGAATAGTGGACTGATGCCTTGGCCTGGTTTTAAAGAATGATTTTTTAGTTTCTTTTGGCATCACAGCATAAAGCTACTTTGAGAGGAGCTTGGTCTTTCAGATTTCTTAAAGATGTTCAGTAATGTGGTCACAGATTGACCCCAGCTGCTTTTAGTTCTGTGACTTTATTTAAGTTAGAAATAACCGAAGTGTGTGCTGCTCGTATTTATGCCCTCCCTCATGCGTATTTACCCATGTTTGTGTATTTTAAGAGATTTTAATGTGGTTGCACTTATTTGGCAGTAAACTAATATACATTGCAGTGCAAATGAGCCCACCGAGTTGTTATGTGCCTCAGTGCTCAGTAGTTATTTTGTGGTCAGATTTATTTATTGAAGGGAAAATAAATGATTTTCTAGTGTGCATTAAAAATAAATAAATAAATTAAAAAGATAAAATTAATCTTGAAAGCACTTACCGTCCTGCTTTTTACTGGGGTATGGTTGTTTTAAAAAGCAGCAAACCAGTCTAGTTTTTAATATTCCCGGGTTTTCCCTTTTATTTGTTCAAAAGCTGTCTTTAAATGGTAAGATTGGGAAAGGAGAAAGCAAATAGAAAAGATATTTCCTGATAAGAACTCATATACTTCAGTAAGTGTTCTCACAGTATTTCTGACAAGAGTTTTATCTTGAAAGAAAAAATCTGGCTAACTATGATTGTACTTTATAAAATGCACTGAAGTATATTCATGTCCTTGCTTAAGGTGAAAAAGCTACACTTAGAGAACTAGGCCTTTCTTTAACCAATTTTATACCAAGTCCCTACTACTGTTTTTAGAACACTGAATACATGTGTTGTGATTATGTCAAGGAAATATTCTAATGACACTTAATTGTTTTATACTTCGTTATGAGAATTTTTTTTTCCAGTATTAAAAAAAAAAATTGGGAAATGTAGTGGGATCAATGCTGTTTCTGGTTAACTTACCTAAAATTGTAACATGAACATTACTTGGATAAAGCAAAAATATAATATGTGCAAAAACATCTCAGTGAGAATGTTTCCACAAATTGAAAATCTATTCCAGTGTAGAGGGAACAGTTTCTAAGGTTGTGGTATTTCTGAAGGAGGGCGCAAACTAATTATATTGTAGCACAAAAAACACTTTCCTTGTTTGTTGCAGGTGTTTATGTGATTACAGATATCTTATTGTTAAAATGTTCTTTTTTTGCTACTTTAGCTAAAGAGCGGATCTTTCTCAAAGGTATTGACTTACTTCTGAAAGGCACTGGATTATATAAAAGAACAATGTTTTGAAAGGGTCTCTGATTTCTTAAAATACCAGCAGCAAAGAAGTGATGTTCGTAATATTACCACAAGTATCATCTTTCTTTTTTTAATATTACTGCAAATGTAAGTAAAACATAATAATGTTGTAATTATGTTTTTGCAGGGGAAGTCCGTTTGACTCCAGAGGACTTTGCCAGAGCTCAAAAATACTGCAAATATGCTGGCAGTGCTTTGCAATATGAAGATGTGAGCACTGCTGTACAGAATCTACAGAAGGCTCTCAAGTTACTGATTACGGGCAAAGAATAAAGCCTTTAATCCAACGGATTCATGTCATTTGCCTGAAGAACTAACAGCTTATTACTGTACCTGTTAGGGGAGTGGAAATATACAGAAGCTCTCCATCTAATCACCTATGGTAATGAAATCACTCTTTCGGTGTCAGTAGGACTCTTCATTTTAAAAAAAGTGGAGCTAGGAGCATATGAATGCAGTTGTTTGATGTAAGCAAAATACTAAAGAATGTACTGTGAACACTGATTAAGAGGTAGAGTTCATATTTCAATATTTAGATTATCAGTCTGGGAAATATCAAATCCGCAAAAAGGTTGAACATTACAATGTTCTGTTGAAATTCTGGCTCTGCTTTCATTTTTTTCAACCAATTATCTAAGAAGTTTAAATAGCTTTAAAATGGTAACAAAATTCACAACTTCCTCCAGAAAAGAAAGCATGTAAGAAGACTGGCACGTACACAGTGGGAAGGACTTTTTTCCATACCTAAATTATTGGAGTATCATCTGAGACATAAAGTTAAACAGGACTTGAGGTTATTTGTATATTATTTTAATACATGCATTGAAAACATTTCTTGATACATCAAGGAGAGTAATTTTGATTGCATTCCAACCCAACCACCACCGAGTGGACTGCTGCATGCAGTCTTGATCATTGGTTCTTTGCATGAACACTGGAAATTTTGTTTATGTATGGTTAACAAAGAGAAAGTACTGATATTTAGTGGAGATGATCCTGAAACCAGGGACAGAGATGCTAAACTGCGTGAACTTTTAGGGAGATTTACTTCATAGATGTCTCATCTCTTTAATAAACTGAATCGAAGGATGGTTCAACCATTTGGTTCATCTTTGGTATTAGTGATCTAGAAGTTTGTATTCCCAGCTAATATTATTTCTGTCTGCTATGTTGTAGAGGCTATTTGGACTTGGGAACTAATTAAAATATCTTGGAAATAGAATTTTGAGTCTTTTTTTAAGTGTGCTCCTGCTATTTTAGGGCTCTTGGTTGTTAAGAATTCATCCTTGCAGTTTGAAAGAAGGACTTAGTAGTCTTTTAACTGGCATGACATAGGAATTGAGTACACCACAAAGTATGTGTGATTTATGCAATATCTTTTAACGTCGGATTGTCTGATATGTCTGTCTTTCCAAGCTCTTGGATCAAATGCACATCATTTGTAACTGCACTGTTTTTGCAGCATCTTAAAATTAATTTTTTCATAGTGATTGATATGAAGATGACTAATAACTAAATTGAAGCATTTATTAAAGTGTGTAAAAGGACTATTTTGGTCATGTTTATGTTGAAACTCTACAAAACTGGAGAATCATCAGAGGAAAAAAGTAAGCCATGAAAAAGCCGTAAGTGATCATTTACAAATGTATAACCTTCAGCCTATAAAAACAAAGTATTTCTCTGACTGGAATGGAGATAAAAATGCTTATACAAAAGTTAAAGAGTATCTGGCTAGAGAAAATATAAGATCACTATTTCTGAACATAAAATAGTAGTTAGAAGATTGATCATGTAAAATTTGCATGAACACAGTAAGTTCAAACACACCCTAAATGCTCACTTTCATACCACAATACTTAAATCAGCATTTTAAATTATATTTTGCATAAAATTATGTTGTCCTGTCCGTTTATTTTTTTAATGTAGAAGTTTTATTACAGCTCACCCAAATTTTCTTTGAAGCTACAGATTGAAGGTGCTTATGTTTGATGCAACACATTCTGAGTATTTACCATCTTAACTGATGCCTAAAGTAAATTACAGCATAGCATTTCTATTCCACTAAGTACCGCCTCTGGGTTAGTTTTAAATGTGGCAGGCAAGATAGCCTGAAACTTCAAGCCCATGTTGTAGAACTGTTCAAAAATTGTAGATATTTAAAAGTGGCAGGAGAATGTAGGTGGACTGCCTGCAATTATTCCAAATTGAAATAAGTGTTAGGCTGTGGAATTTATGGCCCCATTGTTAATTATCTTGTGAGCTTGCCTAAGTGTTGACTGTTTTACAGCTACTCTGAATGGTAGAGTATCAACCCATAGTTTCTCTTCAGCCAGTTCCCAATGCATGCATTGGTATCTAAAGGAGAATGCTGTTTCTGCTGCTTTACTGCCCTTTCTCCTTCAGTGATGACTAAAACCTACATGTGCTGGCCTTTCCCACTTGGATTGTGAGCTCTGAATGGTAATCTTGTTTATAGAAGGAAGAAAAAAGCTTTGTCTGATGTTCCACTTTTCCTTTTTTAAAAAATAGAATTTTAGTAAATCTGTTCAGTGTTACTTAAACAGCTTTTGTGGTTCTTTGTGCACGTATATTTCTGCAGGAAAAGTCCCCATTTTGTATTGCAAGATTCGTGTCTTGCAAAGCAGGTTACTCTTTGTGAAATGGTGGAGATTTTTTTCAAATTTTATAATTTTATGATACTGGAGGTATACTTTTCAAATGGTTGAAGTCATTTCAGGTGAAATTTTTAATAGCTATCCATTGAAAGTGAAGTTTCTGAAGCACAAACATGAGAATTGGAGAAGACATGAGTTTGCTTAATAAATTTCATTGTCAACAAGAAAAGAATCCTGTGTTTCCAGTGGAGCTCTTTTTGGTTTGTGAGAGTACTGTTGTAGTCTGGTAACAATGATGGTTCTGAATATAATGTTTTAAATGACCTCAGAATGGGAACTGTGTTAAATAGCAGCATTGAGAACAAACTTGAAAGAGGGTGGAGGCATATGCTGATGGGGGCAGATGAAGAGGGGGGGGGAGTCACTGCAAAATGGGATAGGGCACAGAAATGATTCACAGAAAAGAATCAGAGATTATTAGAATGCCACATGGAATGGGAACATTAGAAGTGACTGCTATAAAGTGTCTTTACAACCTTAGAAGAGACGGGATAGAAGCTGGAAAAGGCAGAAGTTTACAAGAAGACAGAAGAGTAGAAGAGACAGAAGTGTGGAAGTGACAGAAGTGTAGAAAAAACATTTTTGTTATTGTTATCATTTTTTGTACAGCAGCATGGAGGAAAATGTAAGATTGAAAAGACCAAGGATAGTTGTAAAATAAAAAAAATAAACTCAGCGTGATGAAAATGGAGAGGAGTAGATCTTTCATCCTCGCGACCTATGCACTCATTTAAAATAAGTCATATTTATTATATTATTAAAATAGAGTTGGGTGGCCCCTTTCGAAAATGATGTAGAGACCTGAAGAGATCCGTGTTACTTCTTCAAATGTTGTTCACGATTTTGGGCTTTCTCTTCTCTTTTTTTTTCTCCCCATTATCCACCTCTGTTTTTATTCTGTGGTTTCCCTTAGAGGGGAGATTGTTGTGTTTTGATGCTGTGCTAAGTATCAATGATAGCCCACATGTTTAGACTTTCTCATGTAATTTGGGAGGGTTAACAAATCTGAGTTTTCAACTGATGTGGGCTATAGAGAAAATACAGGGATTGTACTTTCTTCTTGAGCATCAGAAGATATTTGGGAGCAGTATTTGTGGAAGGATGTGTGATAATCAACTTTTCTCAGAGCCATATCTTCAGTCAGATCTCAACAAATGGATCTCTTGGAGTTTGGAGACCTCCGTCTAACAGGTAGTGAAGTTGCCAACTTTCCTTGCTCAGTTAACCCATCTGTACAATAGATGTTGTATTTTCGTCTTGAATAGATGCATTAGGTGAAATTGTTTCAGTCTAGAAAGTAAATTTCTTTAAAATGCTGTGTTTGATTCTGATCATTGTTGATGGAATCTGATAACTAATAAGGAATGCAAGGTAGAGATACTGAGATGATAAAGGAAATGAAAATTGTTGTATAGTGAAAATAGATTGAGTCTAGTTATGGAATGGTTTTCTTAAGGCATTAGGGACAAAGTATTAATTTAAGACATCCTGTTAAATGTATAAATTGAGATCGCATAACAAGATTGAAGTGAAACTGGAGTTAAAATTTCAATTTGTCAGTCCCTGAGCTTTTGAGAAGGTTTTTCTGGCTGCTTGAGTTATGGCCTATGGATTTAATGCCCAGTGTATGTTTGCTTATAATAGTGAAAAACACAGCCTGTCAGCTGTGTTTAAGACAAAAAAAAAAAAAGAAAAAAGAAAAAAAAAAAAGACAATTATTTCTTTTTTGCTGAAGTTAATCAAGTGTATCAGCACAGTCTTGGGAAAAATACCTTACTCAGTATAGATACTAAATCTGCATGCTTCTTTTTACAAATATAGGTGCTCGTGATCACTGCATCTCTTTCATAATAGAAGCTTTACACTCATCTGACCTTTTTCCTCCTCTTAAATTGCGAGAATAACTTCACCTGTGTGAATGGTTCTATTGAAGCGGGATAAGTGTTCATGTACATAAGTGTTTCAGTTCAAAGCTTTAGCAAGAGGCATATTGCTTGATCAGTAAAATTTAGTTGGGACAATTGCAGTGCTTTTAATTGAGCCAAATCTGGTATACTGCTAGTTCTTCCAATGTGTGCTTTAATCTCATAATCTTTTTATTAGCATATTTTGAGACAGAACTCAGCTTTTTTCCACTTACGTTTTCTGTTTGGAAATAGTAAGATTTTATGTAGACCATAAACAAAATAATAATGATGAAGCGTACTGAATCTGTTCATACTAGATTTGCTGAAAAGGACAATATTCTCTTGATGTATTTTTTGTATGTTTTATGGTACAGTTATATGTAACTACAGCTCCTATTAATTAAGAAATATTTATTCTCAGCAACATCTGCAGGAATATGCATAAATTCTGCAAATAAAAGCCCTGCCATGTATAGAGGTGTTCATATAAAAGAGGACAACTTCTGTTCTTGTTAACTCTGAACTATGTAAGTCAGAACATCAGCCTTTTGAACGGGCTATCGTTGAAGCTCACTCTTGCATCCAGTTCTGGGGCCCCAAATGCAAGAAGGACATGGAGTTGTTGGAGTGCGTCCAGAGGATCGCCACAAAAATGTTTAGAGGCTGACCCCTCCCCTACAAAGGCAGGCTGAGAACTCTTCCACCCAGAAAAAAAGAATGCTCCAGGGGGAAGTTATAGTAGTCTTCCAATGGTCTACTGAAAAGCTAGGAAGGAACGTTTTGTAAGGGCATGTAGTGATAGGACAAGGGGAAATAGTTTTGAACTGGAAAAAGATAACCTTAGACTAGATGTTTGGAAGAATTTCCTTACTGTGAGGGCAGTGAGAAACTGAAGAGGTTGCCCAGCGAAGTTGTGGATGCTCTCTCCCTGGGAGCATTCAAGGCCAGGCTGGATGGGACTTTGAGCCACCTGATCTATTGGGTGTCTGCCTAGAGTAGGAGAATTGGAACTAGATGATCTTAAAGGTCCTTTCCAACCCAAACCATTCTGAGATTCTATGAGTTTTTCCTGCAAACTCTGCTATAGTCACTAGCGATCCCTTGTTGAAACTTGTATGAGATACAGTGTGAAATGTGAAAGTTTCTTTTTACAGCCACTTTTCATAGTGACTGCAATATTTGATACTGCCCAGTCAACTTTTTGGGAAGCAATCTGTTTGTAAATGATTGTAAATGTAGATAAGTTTACTGAACCATGCATATATGATCAAATCACTAAGCTCATAGAATCTAAGCCCACTGAGGTATATTAAACTTCCTGCTGCTTCATTTTTTGGCTATGCAAAATTCTTTAGAATCTGACCATGGAAATGAGTATCAAGTATCAAGACTACTTGCTACTGAAATCTAAGTCCTAACTGCACAGTTTCTTGATCAATCACAGTTCATCTTTTCTGAGATCATCTTACCTATTCTGACTGCTTTGATGAGTCTTCCTGGGTGCTGCCACAAGTATCTGTTGCCATGCAAATTTTGGCGACAAGCCCCTATTTTTTTTCTTTGTTCTATAGCTCCAGTCTTAGATGGAATAATAAGAGAAAATACTTTCTGCAATTGTTCCCTCTCAATGACAAAAGTTG